TAACGATGAATATATAGAGCGCTACAATTTTTTTTAAGTGTGTGTACACCGTCTAAGCTGATATATTTTGAATTTTCCAAGCCTTGTTTAGCCAATTTTAACAGTAATACTGTTTTAATCCGAGACAAAATTATCAGCTATTTGATTATTTTTCTACCCCTATTTGACTTAACTGTAAATAACCAAGTTACCCCGCCCCGCACATTAGAACACTCAAGTTTAAATTTTTTATATTTACGCTTCTAATCCTCTCAAGTTATTATGTTAGAGATAAATTTAAAAGGTATTATTTTCTTAACAAAAAGCACATACAAATGTACATTTTGTACCACCTGTAAAAAGTAAAAAAAAGTCTATGAAAATATTTCGTCATGTATTCTAAACGCGGAGAGTGTCAGATTTTATGATAGTTTTGTAACATTGCCATAGATTACAATTATCACAAAGGCAATATATCACGTGAAGACTAGCGTGAGTTATAATGTTTTCGAGATACTGTTATCTTAAATCTTTATCATTTTTTCACATACCGTTGATTAACTCATTCATATTCTTGTTGTTTTTACGATACAAGTGGTGTATTTTATAAATTTCAACCAATGTTATACTAAAGATACGTAACATTACACAACATTAAATAATGTGTAATTACGGGAACAGATTAAATTAATTAAGGTTAAAAGTAAAAAAATGACATGCATGATTTTGGTACGAAACATGAATTTTACGAGGCAATTTTCAAGAAGAATAACAGTTAAAACAAATCAACGCATTTCATTTTTTGTTTAATAATTTATAAAGATTTAAGAGGAATAAACAGTAATGCCGTCGGATTAAGATTATACGATACAATTGTCTTATTATCATAAATAATGAAAGATGTTTTAAAAACTAATCACAAATACCGTATGTTTTTATCAAATAATGGGTGAAAGAATATGCAGTAAAAGAATACGCCTACTACTATTTTTATTGTCCAACAGAGAATACATATTTTGATAAAAATGACCGTTACAATTCTTTAATCTTTTATATACACCACATTTTTATGATCATTTATGTAATGAAAATATTTCATTTATATGAGAAAACAATGTGTTAAGATATATCCACAATAACATATTAAGGGTAATCACCTTTAAACATTTGAATACAAAGTCGCGTTTATTTTGCAAACAAGTTAATATAACAGCGCACGTAAAGCTTTTGAATTTTATTGAATCAAAATATTTAAAGTAATTTACATAAAGGTGGAAAACTAAATATGTCTAATGTATACATACAACACTTCAGATCTAGCTTCTTATATTTTGTTGATCTGGATCAAGTCCTTCATCGTACTGTTTGATACTTAAGGAGATTCAAATCATTTAAACAATCCAGCAAAAACTGTTACACACCTAAAAACTGGCGTCAAGTGCTTTGTTGCTGTAAAACAATTCTATTCTGCATCTCAACCTTTTTGTTTGATCATTGTTTAAAATTCTATCAAATCTGAAGAAGAACTCGTTCTATATATATATATATGTATCTATTTTGTTTATTTGTCAATTTCATTTATTGGGCGAGAGTACCGAGAAAAATATATTGGTTGCATTTTCATGATTACAATTATGAACAGGGATTATAAAAAAGTATATTATTTTCACGTTCTATTTACTTCGATTTGTTTTTAGGATCACCTCATTTTTTGTTACAAACATTTTTCAATGCTGTTTGAATTATCAGCTGTTTTTTCTAACTTAACGAAAGTTTTATTGTTAATGTTGTTTGTTTTATTAATCAGGTATATAATTGCGTATTTATCTTGGTTAAGCTGGATGGTTGCCACCATACTTTTGATTGACGAATAAACCTGTTGCATATCAATAAATGCAATGTTAATGTTTTATAAACAAACGGTAAATTGTATTGTTTATATGAAATTGCAAATGTGTTCATATATTTTCATTGCATTTTAAAAAAAATAAATCTGCATGAAAATACACGTTGCGCACAAGGAAAGGAAAACTTGATTAATACATACCCCGTTGTAACCAAATGTGATCAGATGTTGCCAATTATAGAGCCAGGCCAGCGTACACATACCGGTTATATACAGTTTATATAATTTATTGTGTTTGTATGTCATATTGTGCATTTTGAAATTCTTTAAAAATTGTATGCTTTGTTTAAAGTGTTAAGTGAATTTAAGAACAAGAATGACAATCCTAAAATGTTTTAATAAAAGTATGTTATATAGATACATTCGTTACTAGAAAACTGGCACGTGAAAATGTTTTTCCTGAAATTCTTCTGTTATTTTTACTTTGGATGATTATAATTTCCAAAATTAATATTTTCAATTACGGTTTGACATTGTACATATAAACGTTTAAAGACTAATCTATTCTTCATATAAAACTTAATATTATGTACGTATGATATTACCTACCGGCTAATGATAGCTACTGTGTATGTATATTGCAATTTTCCGAAATAAACGAGATTGTCTGCAATAATTTTTTCTGGCAATAAAACGTAACCGTTGGTCTGACAATAAAAGTGTATTTTGAGACGCAATCAAAGTTCGCACCAAGAATCCAATCTATAAAACAGTGCGTGCACACATATATTCTTCATTTCTTATTGTCTGATTGACTGCGATATCACGTATTTAGATCTTTGTTATCACATAAAATATTCTTAATTAATTAATGGCTTGGTAATTAAATCACCTTTGATATTGCAGAAGAAATGAAAGTTTTTTCACATAAGAAAGGTGTGTTTATTTATTGAAAATTGTTCCAGACATCTATAGCTTTGATGTATGGCATTTGTCGACAGATGGTTTTGGAAATTGCTTTCGTTGTGTAACATAATAAAAGTTTTATCTATTTGGAGATAAAATAGTTGGTATTTGAGTAACTATAATGATGAAAACTTTATTGTTTCGATAGGCAATAAACATCTGTTAAATATAGGAAGAGTGGTACACCGTAAGCGATCTTTGAATAATTTACACAAATTCTCAAATACCATACACTCAGACATTTACTGAATAATTTGTCCATGAACGGATAAAGTCAGTTTTAAAAGTTTCATTTAAATAAATTACAGTATAATGATAATATATCCATATTCCGCAAAGCAACAACAATAACAACAACAACAACAACAACAGAAAAACTACAACAATAAAACACATTTTGTTTTATATTTAATATTTACAACGGGAAGTGAATATGTATTTTTTCCTCTTTCTGGAATAACTTCTGTAACAATGAATAACGACTAGTCTAGCGGAAATACTTTGAAAAATTTCAAATAATTTCTTATTCACCAGTTTTGTTTTTAATTCAAAATAATTTCAGATATTTATAACGTTAACAATAAAACACACACAAAAAGGCAAACTCAATGAATTCAAATCACCATGTAAAATCAACGTTTTCGTCATATCATAAAAAATCGATGAAAAAATAGGCATTTGTTGACTTGTTTGATTTTTCTGTTAACTCGAGAATAGACCGTTACATTTTCACAACAATATGAAATTAAGATATATTTCAGTATACTAAAGAAACTGACTTGTGTTACTAAGCCTAGTAAAATCAACATTTTTGTTGTGTAACAAAGTGTTGTCCTTGTAGCTTATCAAATAATGACACCGTGTTCATCAAACATTACTTCCAATGGATAAAGAAAATTTTGAAAAAAATTGCTTTCACTTGATTTCACAGAGACTCTATAAGCTACTTACCAAAACTTGATTTATTGCGGTATATAGTGACAATTAACACATCATTTATAACACTTTCATGTGATATAACTGCTTTCATTATTTAAATATCGTTTTGTATTGAAGTGTTTGAGTAGTGAAACTCTATAACTGAGTCAATGCTTTGTAGTAGTTATTTAAAATCTTTACTGAAAGCGTGTCAAATTTTGAATAAATGTTTTCGAAGTTAAATATTTGTTCAAACCGTTATAGTCTAGTTACTGTGTATAAGTACTTTAAGTATCGATGAGATCAAAATAAATAATTTACTGTGACAAGCAAAAACCGTCCTGGCTATCTTCATTGTGATTTTGAACTTTTATTATTCATCTATTGCCATGATAGGATCATGTGTTATAGCACATGAGTCTGGTAGGTGATGGAATATTTGTGACAGTAGTTATATAATGTAGAGTTATCATATCTGTTAGTTTTATAGTTAATTGACAATTGTTTAATTGACAATGAGTGTCTTATTTAGAGGAATATTATTGAATGATTAAACATTTATCGGAAAGGTTGTTTGATAGTGCAGCTTCCTTACAGTTAAATGTTTTAAAACGTTGATGAAAAAAACCGTAGTTGACTTTTCATCATATTTGCACTGTTTATGTTTAACACTATATTCTTATTATATTTATTCATAAAATTCGGTACCTATTCGGACCGATAACTATAATTCAAATAAAACTAATCAGTTCAATCGAAAATATGTAAGATTTACAGCCGGGCTTTGTTTTCTATTATTATTTGAAATGATAGTTATATATCAATCGGTTACAAATAATTATATTGTCTATAAATAACAGTTGCTTTATCATCAAATGATACGATTTAGCAGCGGCTTTTTTTCTAGATATCACCTGATAAATTATAAAGTGATTCATTAAATTAGTTTATGTTGTGTACCGAAGACTTATGTGCACTTGTAATTCCGTATATTAAATGAGATAAATTTATACTTCTGCTGTTCTTAGATTTCCTAATTGCCCTCAGGTAAACTCGTTATTTTCAGACAAATATTTGAAAGAAATGGCAGTAACGGCTTATCATACTTGCACTAAACACACGTTTATTATCATTTCAAAGTAATCTATTTGCATAGATTTTATAAATGGTTTAATATTTATTCAAATTCAAACTTCATGTATCAAAAAACACTAGTAGCGATTTATCAGAAATCGATATGATACGTGATAAAACCATTTGTTTTGATATCGTTACAAATTGTATGTTTCAGATAATATTCGGATGGAGTTTGTAAAAGGGACGATGCTGCTTTAAAGCTGCACTGACAGAAAGCTGAATTGCAGTTTTGTCCACATATCACCTGCCCTTGCGAGTTAACAATGACAAATTGTGTCTGGAGTAACAAAAATGAGTGAAGTGCCTCCTCGAGGGATATTCTTCTTAAGTTCCTGGTAATTCTATGACTTATGTTAGCAATCAGGGATAATTTCCAAAAGTCTATATTGCATATGTAAAGTCGTGGGCGAATTTATCAGCGTTTTTTTCTTTTCATATGGAAATAGTGTACTGGATTTAAGTGTTTAATCGACACGTTCGTGTTAACGTAATTGTATCAAAATAATTTTATGGAAAATTAAGCAACACCAATAGATAATTACACATAGCAACAAAGAAGTGAATATTGATAATGATTACTGTGAGAAGATCAGATATACATTTAACACGCCGTGTAAAGATCAAGCATGAGGATTATCAAGACTTCGAATGAAACGACAATAATACCAGACAGTTTGTCCGTGTACATTATCCCTAGACTCATCATTTCACTTTATCTTATCACCATCGGATACAAAACTGGTAAGTTGTTACATTCTTATTTCATAATTACTATATGACCTTTTATAAAATTATACAATGTTTATTAATTATTTTTGTTTGACTTACTAAGACAATACAACACAAATATTTAGAATCCTATTAGAAAAATAATATTCATATTACCAGATATTTTGCTTATGGCCTAATGATAGATATTATTATTTATGTCTTCAAATTATCCACAATATTCATTTGCTCGGCATATGTTCGTTTATGAATCTTAATTATTTAATCAAAAAGCAAAGAAGAAATCCAAAACAAGATAATAATGAATGCTTGCTTCACTGCCGTCGTGATTACGTCATAGCAACATTAATTGCACCCAGTCGTAAGTTGTTGCAAAACAACTAGACTACAGTTCGTAACATAAATAAACTAAACAACTGTTTTTACTCTCTCTAATATATCACGTCATTTATATAGGGTTAACGCACGTTTTTCCGTGTTATAACGTCTGCAGAGTCCCGAGGAACGGTTGGTGCCCGAGCCCGGTAGGGCGAGGGCTCTAACAGTTCCGAGGGACTCTGCAGACTTTATAACACGAAATAAACGTGCGTTGACGCTATTATAGCATAAAATTTTCAAACAGATTCGTGATGTATAGTTTATACAAAACACAATTACATTAAATTCTTGTGCTTGGACGGTATTTATCCAATTCTATGTTTTACGTATGCGTTTCATTTTTCCGGGGCCAACAACTTGGAAAATTCTCGGAACCGAACGAAATTTTGAATTTTAATTGATTTAACAAAGCTTTGCCTTTGGAGATTTATTATCTCAAGAAAAAAACAGGTTACATTACTCTACCCTCTACCCAAGACAAAACATGACCCTCAGAAATTCTTAGAATGATTTCAGATTGATGAGTGACATCAGAATCGGTTTATTTTTTTCAAGCAAACAAGTTTAGCCTATAAAAAAAACCAGGCACTAAGCATTATTCTCTCAAAGAAATATAAAGAGCATTTATCAACATTAATAAAAAACATTTTCTCATATTAATTTTTGTGTTATCTAGTTTTGTAAGTTAATCGGAGTTTTAAACTGAATGACAGGTAGATTCTACTGTATTTGTTTACATTGACAACTGTCCGTTTCTTAGAAAGGGCGACAACCAAGATTAGCACCGATGTCTATACGCCGTTTTTTCCGGCATATTTACTTGAATATGCGACTGAGGCCCTCGAATCAATAAATTTCAATATAACAAGAGCGCATGACTCTTTGGCAAACAGGCAAAATCGTCATTTTTTGTTTGTTTACTGGGCCCTGTATGTATTGCGCATAGGTGAAACCGGGCTATAACAAGAGCGCGTGACTATGTTAACACATGGTTTTGGTCCCGTTATAACATGGGCAAAATAGGGAAAAAAAAGCCGATTTTATGCTATAAGTAATAGAAAGAGCACCGAAACACGAGGCTATCTGATTTGTACGAGGGGGCGTAGCCCCCGAGTATTAATCAGATTTCCGAGTGTTTTGGTGTTCTTTCTCTTTTGTATCATAGTCAAACATAAAAGCACGTTCCCTGTTGTCACAATATGAAACCCCGGCAAAAATGAACCAATGAACGAACATCTGAATATGACATTTCTGTCGCTTCCCCTTTATCTGCCGTCACAATATGTAAACCCCAGCAAAAATGAACCAATCAATGGGCATGCTCTTGAGTGCGGGTAACTAATACCCGCACTCCAGTTAACGCACTGTGCATGTATATGTATACGATTTAACCCTGACACATTTTCAACAGAAAGGTCTCAAAACTATGATACAATTATAATTGTCGTTTGTTGTACGTTGTAGAAAGAATTACATCCCCATGTCGAAGAGTTCATTGCAATAAATATACCAAATTTTTAAAAAAAACATTAATCTTGTCGACAGTCCAAACCGTGTACGTTACTGTAATAAAGCCATATATGTATATTAGTATGTATTCTGTTAGTTATAAAAGTATCAACCATTGTCATCAAAAGTCCAAGGAAATAGCGAAATATTAGCCATATAAATATTTTTTTCTGTTGTGTTTTTTCTATGACACAAAATGTATTAAAGAAAACTATACAGTGTCCAAAGCTTTAAACAATAAAAAGAAATATTGAAACGTAATAAATCTAACATAATTTAATCCAAATACCTGACTGTTATATTTCTTACATTATCTGTATTACCTTGCAAATGAACTGAAGAAAAATTGTTGTACATTTTTTTTAATTTGCTGAAAATAAAGACTTTCCGTACAAATGCCCAATCTTCACATTTATTACCCATAAAATATGAAAGTGTTTACTATGGTTTTCATATCTACATTTTGTTCTAGGCATAAAATTCACAAAATGTTCTTTTTTTCACCTGGCACTAGTTCACATATAACAAAATTTTGATGCTTAATTCCATCTTACTTTATAATACCACATAAACAATTCTTCTTTTTAGTTGAAGAACAGGCTCCATTTATCTTCAGCAAACCAGCTGTTAGTTTTATAAATATTTAAGCTGCCAGAATGTTTATGGTTCATTTATATTATTTATTACTTTTGATATATATGAACCTGTGTGCTTTCTCTTTCGTGCGGTGTGAATAAAAGTGTACGAGTATGAATGAATATGAACAAGACACCCAAAGCTTATTAAGATATCAATTCACATTATCCTTATTTTGTAGGGTAGTACAATGGTACAACTTAAAGAACACAACCATAAAATAAATATTACGATTGCCCTTCTTCGTTTATTTTTGAAAATAAGTATGTGTTGATTTATTTTACGAGATGCTAATGAAAAACATAACAACATTTCACATTGATATAGATTGAAGCGACACGAGTCAAAGATGATTAATATAAGTATTTTTATAACAAGAAGTTTTAAATGTGTAAAATATCAATAAACACTGTTATACGATGAAATTGCAACAACCTTTTGAAAAAAAGACAAAATAGGAGAAAACTGTATTTCCTGCTCGGTTTAGAAATGTGATACCGAAGTCATTTCTGAAAGACATTAATAATTGCATGTAAATAGGATTATTATGTATAAATGCAATTATGTATCTAAGGTTCTACAGCGTGCAATTAGGTATTCAGACAATCTTAGGTTGCTTGGTTTATATTTTGCCAATTAGAACTTGTATACATACGCCAAATATTGAGCGAAGAACAGATTACATTCAAAGCATAGTATGACATTGTTGTACAAAAAACTGTATCTTGTAGACAATTTATGTGGTAATAAAACTGTTACAAGTCTTTATTTGTCTGTCAATTACTTGGTATGGAACCAGGAAACAGAAATATATTTTATGTTAATGGGCGGGTGTGTTTTAAATCAATCGGACTGCACTTTTCACAAGACATGTTTCATTCATATATTCATAAAATAATGCTTTTTCGTAAGAATGTACCTAGGATACGAATGTAGATCGTACTTAACGTTTCTGTGTTAATATGTCAGACGCAATTAAGCTGAGCTGATGTGTACAATTATCTCTGCGACAGAATTAAAAAATACCACAGCATAACATACATGCATATTGCTAAAATATATATTTTCTAATGTTTACATGGTATGCGTATGTAAAATGGTAACTTGGTCATGTGACTTATTTATGTCACATTTCTTATTACTTTATAGCTGGACTTCTTACTTCGTGTGTTCAAATATGTTTACTCTCTTCTATCTCAGAAAACCAACGGCGTATATATGGTATTAATGTCTTCTGAATATAATAAACACATGTGATAATTCTGATATCGTGACGGTGACAGTAATTACAATGTACATAAGTATACTGGGTAACCATAGACAGATACGTGAAACACGAAACGAGTCTAATGTAATGACTTATTTTGAGGGCAAGTCACGGAAATATGTTGAATCTAGAATAGGACAATGCACTATGTAAAACATAAGTTCTAAATGTATGGTATCACGCTGTGTTGTATAATATTGACTACTTTTTTTATAATTTTTTCTAAAGTTGCAAATAGCTAACTATATTAACGTATCAGTTCAAACATACAAAAGGCACCCCAGTACTGAAAACGAACATTTAAATAACTATCGTTAAAAAGCAAACAACAACAAAAAAACAACAAAAGAACAATTTCGGTATATCTATTACACAAACTAGCAGTTGGTGGTAATTTCGTATATGTTGCTTATTGACAATCACTATTGTGTTTTTAGTCTGTTTTCCAACTGCTGTATATTTTCTCCATACTAATTAATTAAAGGTATAAAACAAATGTTTATTTGTCTATGATTAATATATTCTTTTTTTTTCTGTAAACTTGTACAACAAATCAGCTTTAGGTTGTACAACGAATGAAATTATTGTGACGTTCTTTTGACAAATACCAAAGCAGGAGAATAGACGTCTCAAAGAATACAGCTTTTACAAACGTTTGAATTACTTCTGTTGTTTATGTTATTATTTCGTTAACAACTTTTAAGATGAAGTTTATCGTCAATAAAACAGCTGTTAGTTTTATAAACATATTATCTACCGGAATGTTATGGTTCAAATTATTGTTGTTATAGCTTTTGATATATTTGTACCTGTATAATGCATTCTGGAATCCTTATGAATGAACTCTTTATCCGCTGCATTTCCTGTATAAACATATATTACGCCATTGATTACAGACAAGAGCAGTCAGAACAGCGTCTTATTGAAACCAAAACAAACATTGAAATACTTTATCAGATGATAAGTTAAGTATTTTTGGAATATGAGTACAGTTGCTGTAAATAGAGCCCCTCATATTTATAGTTCAAACCCACCGAACTAACTGTTTAAAACAGCATAAAATTAGACAATCATTATATCTTTATTTAAAGACAACGTGTTTCCAATTACTAGTACGTGAAAATGCGAATTTTGTGAAAATATGTGCAAAATAAATAATGAAAAGAAATCTCTATCATGTACCGTTTTAGTGTAATTGAATTTTATAAGTTAAGAACATTCA